CCTGTCATATGAAGTGACATTAGTTAAGAATGGCATTGAGACAAACCAGGGGTGGATTTTTTTTTTTTTTCTGTTCTTGTGTTGAAATAATATTTTGGAAGGTTTCTTTAATGTTGACAGTTGAGCATAATTGTTTCAGTAACAACAATAAAGCATTTGGGACTTTCAGTTTAATTGACCATAACCTTAACGAAGCCAGGAACACTGTCAGGCTGTAAAGCAAATTCATCTACATTTTAGTTTCTGTAAGAGACTTCCGTTCTATTTTGACTGACGTTTTGGATTTATTATAGTTCTCTCAGAATAAGCATTTGCACTTCAGAGACTCCTTGATTTTGTGTCTTCAATCTTTAAAGAGTTCATCATATCAGTAATAATATGGAGGAGCCTCATAATAAAACTGTCCACTATAATTTTTCCTGTGTTTAAACAATTCAATACCTAAAAAAAAATAGCTTATTTTGTGCTTTGATGTTCAATCACAATTGTAACATAAAAAGAGCAATGTCATGAAGCACAATGTGTAGCTTCTGATGCTTGAAGGAGTTCTGCCTGGTTCTGTAAATTAATAGCATACATATAAATGAGAATTCAGTAGTTTTCATAGATGCTGTATTATTCATCCAACAATGGCAGTTTCACAGGAGCTATTTTTTTTGACATCTATATTAAATGGCAAATATTTGTTTATATGTCTACTGAATTAATATGTACATAATGATTTCTTTTTAAGGAAGTTCCTTCTCCTGTTGCAGGGGGTTTGAGGTCCTGATAAAGTGTTTGCTTCAAAGTTGTGTTTAGATTTGCTGTTATTGGTAATAAAACCTTTAAAGAACTTGGTGGGTGCCTGTTGATGTGCTATGGCACTATTATATTCCATGTTTCAATTTAAACCAGGCATGTATTAGGTGAGTTCTACTCTGAATAATCCAACTTCCTCTGGCTTGCTGCAAACTCAGTCCAAAATATATATTTTTTTCTATTAAAATTTGATTAATTTGAGTGTTTAAAAATACCAAAAATCTTAATGTTCTGCTGCAATTTAGGCTCTAGTTTGGAATAAGGAATTTGCTAGAGACAAACATAGACAATGTTTGCAAGGGTTTGGGTATTGGTACACTTGTTCTTCTTTCTCTGTTATCTCCTAACCATGGCAATGACTCTTGTGTTTTTCGTCTCCTTTACTTGTATTTCTCTGAGAGGTGAACTTGTATAAAGAATCAGTTCTATTCTGCACATGGCATGAGTTTGTTTAAGCATGTACCCAATTTCAAAAAACTTCTTAACTTCCGTTTGTGTTTCCATACCTAAAAACAAATTTGTATGGGCATTTAAAAATATTTTTTACCCCAACCATGCATGGCTATTTATTTGGACAACCCTGTGTTTATCTTCCCAGCTTCAAATGGATGCAACATGTTGAGTAGTGTAATAACACCTGATCTTAAAGTACATAAATATTTATAGTTACTGTTATAGGATTGGGCCTTACAATATATTCAAGGTGTTTGGATGTGATCACTCATATTTGATATTTTGAGGTTTTATCCTCACTTTTATTCCCTCTTAAAATTTGTTGAAGTGCCTCTTCTGTAGATACATTCTCTAGATGATGATGTTTTGGCTATTTAGTAGCTACAATGACAAGAAGAGAAGAAATAATAAAAACTACCCAGAAGCAGGCTGAGGAGACATGATTTCTCCTTGGAGTGAGGTAATGGCAGTTTTCTGCCATCAAGCTGTGAACACCCAGCAATGGGCGGCTGCCTCTGCTTCTCTGGGAGAACATGTGCCTATTTTTATTTCTTGGTACGCCTATAGAGTCAAACAGGGAACACTCTGGAGATAGCAGTATTGAACCTTTTTTACATATTTTTTTTTAATGCAGCCGTGCCAGGAAGCAAAATTTCCTTAAACTTTAACTCTTTTTCCTTTCAAGTTTGTTTGTGTTTTTTTGTGCTTGAGTGTATAACTTCTCATTGCCCTTGGTAACATGAAACTTGAAAATTCTGCTGTCACAACATTAGAATATTTTCCAGGAAAATACTGAGTCTTGTAGACATATGTTCTTACTTTACACATTCTCCTTCCATCATATATTCATTATTTTCCTTTGCCCTGTCAGACTGTGAATCTAGAGTTTAACATGGTATTTCTTACATGTTGTCTACCTTTGGGGACTTTGTAGTAACTTGTGGTTTATTGTGAGCTATTTCTGAGTTAGCAGAATCTGTTTGACTTAAACTTGTTGCTTTTTATACTTCATAACTATTTTTTTTCTGGTACAAATTAGAGGAAAAAGGATGGACAATTTTTTTTTTTTTCTAGTTGAATATAGAGATGCTTATTCTTAGAGCAGCAGTGTTGCTATCCTTATAGTTTACTTGACATTTCATCAAAATCAGAAATAAATCTGCCAAGAGTCTGACCTAAAAACTCTCCAGAGTAGACACAACTCAAATGTGTCACCTGAGCTCTGAATAACTTTCTAAAATAGAACATCATGATTGGAAATCTGGAGTTTTTTTCCAAGGTTGTAAAATGAAATAGAGGCCTCTGAGGTGTGTATGTGCATTTCTTTTTAGGTCTTATAATACATGTAAACTGTACACAGATGTGATTTTTCTTAGACTGACCTGAAGAAACTAAGATGGTCTCCCAAACCACTTTTGTTTCTGTTGTGGAGGTGTAAAAGGTTGGAAGCACTTGGCAGAAAATGCCACCGAATGTAATAAGTGCTTAAACTGAAAAAGTGAGAGAACCCAGTTCTTGCAGGATCACCTTTTAATGGGAGAGGGGAAAAAATGGTGAAATAGACTTCCAGGGAACTTCCAGGATAATAAAGCTTTGATAATGTCATTGGGTTTATCTGAATCATTTGGACAATGTGGAGACACTCGGCCCTTTTTTAAAAGTAGTCAACTAGAATATATTATAAAGCAAGTAATTTCTGTTCTTTGAAGATGCTGTTTAGTACCCTGAATGGCTTCTGAATTGGATTAGTGAAAATATAGGTGACAATAGTCAGATGAGCATTTTGGAAAGTAGAAGGGAAGAAAAAGCTACTTTTAAGCAACACTGGCAAAGTGGTGGGTTCCTTGAGGAAGGGATATATTTTATTTTTTCCTCTAGAAAGAGATTATCTCTTTCCCATGGGTAACATACTTGCCAAGGTATTGGTATCATACTTGATGAGCTTGAAGCTTGCTTTTCATAGCAAGCTTTTAAATAGTTGTTTCTTACAGTTAGTGAGATTTTTGTTAACAATTCTGGTCTTCTCACGTGTACAGGTAGGATAGGACTCTAGGAAGGGCCTGAAATTGTCATTTGATCTGTCTCTGCTGGAGTTAGGGGCAGAAACTTGTAGAAGTGCCAGTGAAAGAGGAGAGAGGAAGAAGGTGGATGCTTCTGTATGCTTCATATAGGTAGTGTTGCACAGCTTTCATTAATTAATTCTTGTAACTTGAGCAATTTTTGTCCAGCTGCATGTTTGTCTAGCTGAAATGAAAATGAACAGCCTCATGAAATTTGTGCTGCTGCTACAATTAGACACAAGCTGCCTCCTTGCTTGATGTCTAATATTAAAGTTCTGGCAGAGGTTGCTGCCTATTGTAGCTAACTGCCTGCAGTGACCTGGATGGAAAGAGTCCTAATTCTCTTTCTTGGAGCGATATAAGAGCTTTAGAGAACCTTCTGTTGTTGTTAGCTCTAAATATGCCCTAGGAGTTGATCCAGACCTGGCCTGGCCAGTTTCTTCCAGCTTTTTTGGTGCCTCTCTGATATTGTCACTTCTCCCAGGTGCTTAAAGCATAAGGCTAAAACAGGAGATTGGAAAAACAGTTCTTCCTCCAAACTCTTTCTTAATGCAGTTTTAGTATATATTTTTTAAGAGGACCAGTTTATATTGTAGCACTGTTTCCTTCATATTAACCAAAATGTTCTGCAAAGTGCTATGGTTTGGAATCAGTTCAGATCTTAGGGGAATTCTTGGCTGGTCAAGCACTTACTGAAACTATCACCTATTTCTCTTGGTGGAAATTCGACTTCATTTTGGCTTGGATAACTCTTGAGAGTGATCCGATTTTATTCCCTGAGCTGACAGACATTTCTGTGTGTGGTGTGAATTAGATGAATACAGCTGTGTATTCTACAAGCTGGGTTTGTGGAAGGAGATTGATAGCACATCTTCAACAATGTCTCACTGATGGAGGATCAGATGGTGTTAATGCTGAGGCTGTTAAAAGGGGGGCAATAGACTGTTTGACATGGAATGAAGTACAGCAGTTTTGTATCCAAACAAAGGAAGTTATAAACAGAAAGTGGCAATGAAATCTGAGTCAAGTGCTTTTCTTGGGAAAATTAACAGTGCTTAAACCCTTTTTATACAATAGCTTGTTCTTACACTGCTGGAAGTCAGTCTCCATTTCATGCTTTTGTTGCTAGGAAGTCCATTGTATTTCTCACAATGTTTTTAAATATGAAGGCATATTTTAAAGTAATTCCTTTCTGGGCTACAGAATTACGCTAATTCTCTTTCTTGGAGTGATATAAGAGCTTTAGAGAACCTTCTGTTGTTGTTAGCTCTAAATATGCCCTAGGAGTTGATCCAGACCTGGCCTGGCCAGTTTCTTCCAGCTTTTTTTGTGCCTCTCTGATATTGTCACTTCTCCCAGGTGCTTAAAGCATAAGGCTAAAACAGGAATAACTTAAAGACTTTATTTGATGGGAATTAGGCCTGATTTAAGCAAGAAACCTGCATTTTCATTACTTGGAGGCCTCTTCATGCATGGTTATATAGTTGAGTACTTATATATTGATGATCAACCTAGCTTGTCTTAACAGAAACAACATTGCACTGTTACAGATCATAGGTGCCATATGTCTTTCCATAGTTGCCTGTGAAATAGCTTGTAATGACTCCCCTTTCTGTAGGTCCATTGACTAATGCTTGTATCAAATCTTTCTTTTTCAGATCTACCTTGAGTGAAGTTTGACAAAAAATGTTACAGCAGTTTTGTCTCTGGAAATGGTTAGCTGTAGGGACTGCAGTTGCTACTATCTTGGCAGGTTGTTTGGCCCAGAATGATGAAGGTAAGTTTTTTTGCCGTGGGGGTGTAGCTGTGGGAAGGGTGGGATGAATCTGTGGTTTTGTTTTGATTTTCCTGGAATGATTATTTGAATAAGTGGTTTGATAGTTGGTAGGAAAGAGAGGCTGTAATAACAAAAGGTCTGCTTATGTTTTATGATGTTAAGTATCTGCTGCTGATGATATTTTGCAGAGCTGTTGACTTACCAGACAAGAGAAAATCTTAAGTTAATTCAGCCTTGGACTCTAGCATTAATTTATTTATTTTTCCTCTTGTTCATTGGTCAAATACTTTGCCTTGTTTCATTTGTAAATCAATGGTAACAGCACGCAGAACAGGAGTTTAAGAGAGAGCTGTTAATGGGCTTTATCAGACCAAAAACTTGAGAAAAGCTCCCAGAAGGAAGGTATCCTGGAGAAACAATGCTTCAGAAATTCTGAGATGTGGCATCAGTAGGTCTTGTTCATCCTCACAGCATCTTTGTCAAATTTATATGAGATACCAGAAATGTGTTTTGCCAATGATAAGAATAAAAAATTACAGAACTAGATAACAGATAATGATTTGTTCTTTCAAACAATTTAGAAAGTTGAAGAGCTGAGTTGGATAGACTTACTCTCAAATACTTGTAAGAATAATGAGGGAAATAAATAAAAACCAGTATGATTTCTGAATGTCTGTTTCTCATTATAAGTGTCACTTTTGCCTTCCATATAGGTAGCCTGCAATAGTACATATTTTTTTGCTTATGTCAGATGTCTTCAATCTTACTTGAATTTCGCTTGGGTGTTTTTTTGCTATCAAATAGAAAGTATATTTTTCTTGCTCTATTAATAGTTCTTCAAATGTCCTTTTATTCCCTTCCATCCCCCGGCCTAACCCTACATTGTATTTGATGTCTGTAATACACAAGAAAACTAATTCCATTTTTTCCATGTTTATACACTGTCACAATAGCTGTCATTTTTGACCCTGAAGTGTCTGAGCATATTCCACATACTTGATCTATGCTTGGATACAGTTATCTTGTTTGTTTAATCATTTTATTATAGCAGAGGAGTGGGGGCATTATGCTTTGCAACGTTGGCCTTGGTGATGGTTGTAAAATGTTCTTTGAGCAGCAAGGAGCTTGGTTTGAGGGAGGAGAGGCGGCTGCTGCTCTCTGATATGCTCCCCAGCACAGGAGGAAGTGGATGCCAGAGAGCAAGGGGAATGAGTTGAAGGGAAGGGACAGATGCAGGCTGGTAGGGCTGCACTGGGCTATAGTGGTTCTGGAGTCATGGAAAGAGAGCACTCATGGTAAGCTGAGAGCATGAAGTGATAGTTTTTACTGTGACCTCGATTGTACTCACACTGGCAACATCATAACATTCATCTGAAGAGACAGCCTTGATCAGAATGGCGACATGAATTGCAGCTGAATGCTGATTTCTAGTTCCACTGCAAGAATGCTGAAGTGTGCAAAACATATGCCTCAGAAAGTACAGTAGCAAACAGATATTTCAAAGTAGTCCTTAGGTTTAAATTTTTTTTTCTTTCAACTTTAATTACCAACTCCCATGTTCATTAATGTCAAAAAATAGGCAGATTGTACCTTTTGGTTACAGGTGACTTAGGGGAAGTGAAAGATACTTGTCCACAGTCACATGTAGAGCTCTTATTCATTACTGATAGTGTGACTGAAAATGTATAGCAATGTATTAAAAAGGCTGCAAACATGTAGTAGCAGTTCATGATCTGTGGCTGACAAAACTGTTCTCTGATGGGGTCATGTGGTAGGAGAGAGTCTGCGCAACCTCTTCACTGCTGTGTCAGGAGTTACTGTGAGCAGGTGAAAACAGTATCACTGACAGACAGCAATGGCAGCAGAAAGTTGGCTAATTAGAGTTCTTTTTTTTTTTTTTTTATAAATTGCCTTGCACCAGTTTGAGTTTTTATTTGCTTCTTGTAATTAATACTTTCAATAATTCTGTGTAAACTTGCCAATACAACTTTTATTTGTGTTACTGGGAAATGGAGAATACCTGAAAACACAGAATACTTCCAAGTCAGGTCTAAATATTGTGGATGAATTAGTTAGCAATATATCAACTCCAAATATCCACAACTTTGGAGAATGTATTCAGGCTGTATTGGGGGTTGCAGACTTTCTTTTAATGCATTCATTTACATTCTCAACATTTTCTGTTTTCTGGCTAAACCTGTGCTTCAGCTGAGTTTACAAGTATCCCTGCTAGCATGGCCACCTGATTATGTTCTTCCTGGGTTGATTTTTTGTTGGTGTTTTGTTTTTTGTTTTGTTTTTGTTTTTTTGTTTGTTTGTTTTGTTTTTGTTTTGTGGGGTTGGGGCTTGTTGTGGTTTGGGGCTTTTTTGGTCCTTGCTCATGCCATTTTGTTTAGCACAGATCCCAAACTTGTCTTCAGCATTATTGATTATATTTTTTTATGTAGTCTGAACAGAAGAGCTTCACTTTTGAAAGCCAAAACATATATTTGATGCATATGGCCACAAGTAATTGACTGAGGTAAACATTCAGAAATGCTGTTGCTTGAGGAACACACAGCACCACGATGCAAACTTGAGAATGAACTGATTTTTTTTTTTCTTCCCCTCTGTATTCAGGAAAGGGCAAATTTAGCAAAAGTACTTCTAATATCTTCAAAGTCCTTTGTATAAGTACTGTAATGCTATAATAGAGCAAGCCAGAATGAGGATGAGGTTACTCAACAAATGCCACCCAGTTAATGAGGCCATGCTTATAAAAACAATTACCTTGAAAGACATTTTTTGCAGTGAAATAGAGAACTGTGTTCTGTGTGTACATCATTGCACAGAATTACTTTGGCATGCCTGGGACTGGTAGGGTTGTTCCAATTTGCAATAACAAAATCTGTAATCTACTATATAATGTATAAAAGATGCACTCTTTTAGCAACTGCAATTTAAAAACAACAGAGTAGTTATTTTAACAGCAGAACAATCATGAATACAAACAGGAAAAATCAATTACAGCAGAAATTATAATCTATTTCTTTGCATCTAGAGTGCAAGTGATCTGCTTTCATGGTTGTAGCTGTGCAAATTTAATTTTTGCTCCATTAGTTCATATTTTCTCTATTTCAAATGTTTTTGCTCAACCTCCTGAGTCATCAGATCTTCCCTAGCCGCAACAACTAATGATGCTACAAAGTAGACTTGCAAACTTTATTGAGCACTGCCTTGGAAATGCTTAGGCTGCTTTCTTCCTACACTTATTAGAAAGCTTGCCCAGGATCTCATTTGTTCATTTGGCTTGATGCCATTATCTTGTGGAAATGAGACAGTTTATTCATGGCTAGCTGATAGTGCCCGTGTGATCTTTGAGTTCAGGTCATGTTTCAAATCCTCATGTTTCTGCTGTCCAGCCAAAAGAACATTCAGACAGCAATAATTCCCCCTTTTGTTTTTGCTAAACTAAACAGGTTTCTGTAGACAGCTCTTTCAAAGTAGATTCCCCTTCCCTTCATTATCCCAAAAGTCCTTCTTTGTCCTTCTTTCACCAAAGTTCCTCTTTTGAAAGTGGTTGCTAACACTTGCATTTTGTGTCCAGGTGACATCTTGACAGTTCGTTATGATGCCAGCTGTGTTTTTCTGTCTCTGTTGGAGCTATGTCACTCAGTAAAGTGTATTTTGTGCCGTGGTGGCTCGTGGTTTGTGCTGTGCTATAATATAGCTCTGTCTTTGTCAGCATCTCCAACTGATAAGCACAGGTCTTTAGGGAGTTTTTTCACAGCCATATTTTTGTCAGCCATGTCTAAGCGACATGCAGAGGAATCTCAAGTTTGTGCTCATGTTTGGTTTCCATTTGTGCCACTAATAAATTTGTGTCCTGCATTTCTTGTTCCAAGTTTTTAGTGAGCTGAAATTTCAGTCATATGTTACTGCTGAATTGTAGAGAGCTCTACCATGTTTCAGGACCAAGTACCCATCTGAACTACATCTCCTTCTCATTCATTTTAGCAGCTCTTAAGATTTTTCTACTTTCCAGCTTAATAATTTCCTGTGGGAAGTATGTAAAATCTATTGATGAAATGTGAAAACTGTTTATCTGCTGTGGGTTGATGAGTAATAGGGGTTTTTTTGTTTGGTCGTTTGGCTTTTTTAAAGAAATCTGGGTTTAGGATTTTTGCTGCCCCTAGTTAGCTGCTTTCCAAGCAGGAGGAATGCTGTTACGAATTTTTTCTTCAGTAATTTATCTTAAGTAATAAGAAGAAATGTCAGTTATAGCCTTGCAACGTGTGAAATTAGGTCAGCTACCATCTCTCTTATTTTTCCAGTGCTACTCTATTAAAATTAGAGGCAAACTCTGAGAAGGAAGGTGGAAACCTAAGATCCAATTTCTTTCTTGCATTTTGTTTTTTATTAATCCA